GTAAGCTTGTGCCATGTCACGGGCAAGTGCCCGTTTCCCTGCACCCTCATTGTTGGACATGATCATTTAAAATTGCTCCCTGCAGAGATTTAATCTGAGCCCGCCAAGATGAGGGTGTTTCCGGCTCTCAGGGTTGGCAAGGTGGGAGTTCAATTTTATCCTCCACCAGATGGTAATAATAAGATAAGTTTACTAGAAGACATTTGTAAATAGAAGGGTGTGTTTGTGCATCAACATATGTGTCTTTAATTCTCTTGTCATCCCCAGAGGTAGGTATTATCATTCCCATTTTACGGGTGAGGAAACAGTCAGCTGCTCCAGGTCACAGACTTGGTCAAATGGAGCAGGCGTTGGGGCTCACATGGCTGGGGGGTTCCCTAACCGTGACACTGCAGCCTCTTGTAGGAGCTCCCTGACCCTCTTTGGAAGGAGAGAGTGTGTGTGTTGGGGATGGTGGGTGAGATGCGAGAGGGGCAAGGAGGAGCAGCCGGGGTTCGCCTGGACCAGGGAGCCCAGGGCCTTGGAGCTGCAGGTGGTGGCTGCTCCCTGGAGGTTTGCAGAGTGCCTGGGGGATGGGGGAGGCCAGGCACCCCCTGAAGCTTGGGCTGAATAGGTGGTGACCCAGGAAGGCATATGGCACAGGGCCCCCTGGGGACCCCTCATGCCCTGTTTGTTGTGCAGAATGAGGAAGAGCTTCTCTCAGAAGGATTGTTGGCTGCGGTGTCAGCACAGGATGTCCCAGGAAGAAAGGGCCTGTGAATACCTGCGGGGAGGTCTCAGGGTGTCCCTTGAGCATGCCCACAGAGGCAGAGGGGCGGGGCCAGGCATAATGCTGGCTGGAACTGGCTGCTGGTTTTTCAGGGCAGGGGAGCAAGCGCGGATGCAGACAGAGGTTGGGGTCAGCTTCCACTCTCCGGACTTTCTCTCCTGGCTACACCGCCCACCTGTGCCCTCTGCCTGCCTCTCTGATTCCGGTCCTTTGTCTCTGTCTCTCTGCAGGGCCTGATGTCAACCCAGCTCTGGTGCTGGAACAGAAGCTGGCTGAGGAGGCAGCAGAGGCCAGGATGGTCTCCTGCCCAAAGCATCCTTCCCCGGCCACCAACATCTATGACAATGATGGCTTTGATGGTCCTGTCAGGGGTGCTGGCTCCATCAACTCCATGGCCCTGAACTGAAGGACCATGAGGGTCTCCCTTGTAGTTGTCCCTTGACACCCCTCCCCCAAGGCCTAGGGAAGCTGTTCCCTGAGACTGCCTGTCACTTGAGGACGGCATGCCCTCTGACCGTGAGGCTTCCAGGCTCCTCTGCTTCCAGAGTGGGCCCCTGGTTTCCGAGTCACTGGGGCCTCGGTCAGAATGAGATTGCCTCCTCCTTCTGGGCCTGGGTCTTGGAGTTGCTGGGAACAGACACTCTCCATGTTCATCCCAGACTCAGACTCTTTCATAGGCGCTCACTTCTCTTCCAATGTTTCCCTCTTCCAATTCCGTCAAAAGGCCTCAATTTCATGTCAGTAAGTCTTTAACACTGACCAGTGTCCCTGAGAACAGAGACAGTGACCCCACCCCTGGCTGTGACATCGCAGAAGGCCAGGGAGAGGCAAAGGCTCAGGCTGAGAGCCAGGGCCACGGGAGGCAGGCCAGCAGCCACCCCTCCAGGGTGCCCCTGAAGATCTGCCATCCACACCTCTTTCCGGTCAGGGAAGGGCCCAGGGAGGATGTTCTCATAAAGACCTTGGTCATGGATTAACCTCGCCTAGAAAATGCTGTTGTGTTTGGCCTCCAGCTCCAATGGTTATTGAGGCTATTGCTACTAGTCGAGGCCACCTGGGCCGGGAGCTCTTGGGGCCGGGCTCATTCTCCCGCCTCCATCTCATGCCTGGAGCACAGGCCTGTGGGCCTCAAAACAGCCCAACCTGAGCCTCTGTGGAGAACTCTCCAGAAGCATAAACTTTAGAAGAGAGAAAGATGCCTTGCTCTGTGCTTAATAAATATTTGTTGAGCAGAAATGGCACAACGTTTTATGTCACATGTCTAACTTTGGCTGCCTCTGGACTTAAGATCATTTTTGTAAATGACAGAAATAATACACATGTGGGAAAGTGATGTTTTTGAGATATTTGTTTTGTTTTGTTCTATTTCCCCACGCTCTTTTCAAGGAAGTAGCCAGGCCACCATGCGCCCATGCCTCACAAGTGACTTTGAGAGAGGGAGTAATTTCTCCTCAAACCAGGAGGGCACAGAGCCCGGGACTCAGCCAAAAGTAGGACGTGCAGCTTCTTTCTTTCAGGGAACATCCTATGAAGTAGGCAAAACCTGGAGAACTTGCTGAAGGACCCAGGGGTGTGTTCGGGTAGGGAGGGACAAGCTATACAGACTGCCAGCTCCCAGGCTGGGACAGTGGGTGAAAAGTGTCAAGGCACATTTGAGATCCCGCTTGAGACTTCCTGTTCCCCCTCTGGGTCCAGCCCTTGTTTTGGCTGAAGAGCTGCTGTGGCTTTCTGCGCTCAGAGGGCCTGTCAGCATGTGAAGGGAGGACTAGCAAAAGGGGTGGAAAGCTAGTATTTCTGGAACTATCTACTCTCTGGTCCTCACAAGAGTCCTGTGTGCCAGGCACCATTAACTCGCCTGGCACACAGAAAGTTGCTGGCCAGCCAAGATGGACAGGAACTCTGGTAAAGGTTGAGCTACCAGGAAGTAGAAGCTGAGGAGAAATCACATAAGTCACCTATTAAAAACTCCACAGGAGCAGAATAAACAAATAGATTGGAAAATCAATAGTTTCTGATAACAGTGACATTTCAAATCAGAAGAGATAGGCCATTCAATAAATGATGTGGGAGTAGTTAGCAAATCATTTGGCCAAAAACAAAGTTATATCTATGCACCATACACAAAAATAAAAGTAAAGATAGATTAAAGAGCTAAATATAATATAAAAATAAAACTATACAACTATCAGAAGAAAACATAGTAAGCTTGTGCCATGTCACGGGCAAGTGCCCGTTTCCCTGCACCCTCATTGTTGGACATGATCATTTAAAATTGCTCCCTGCAGAGATTTAATC